ACGTGAAATTCTGTGTGGTGAGGAAATATACTCTATATCTTAAGGAGGAAGCTTGGAATAATAATGCATGTAGTGCGCAATTATAGGCCCTTGCTTGGAAAAATAAATGTGTGGGTACGTGACCACAACTCCTCAAGTCAACGCCAGAAAACGAGTTCTAAAGCACAACCAAATCTATCTGAGCTTTATACTATTTATTATATTCAACGAATATTATATTTATCTCTCCACATGAAAACCCACAAAATGTTGTTAACACAGTTACTAAACCTGATTTTTCATGGCATGTAGATTTGTATCAGCACATGCAGTTAATTAATAAGTCACATACTGTTTATCTTTTATGATGAATGGTTAGCTTATTAGAATTTAGAGTGTATGTGTGTGTGTGTGTTACTAATGACATATCATCAAGTAACATGGCACGACTACTGCCAAATGAATCCGCAACCATCTGGTTGTGCAGACACTTAGGTTGAGGATTAGGTACAAAGCATGTCATGAATATAAGGAGTTTCCATGACAACTAAAATCCCAGGGGAACGCATCAATCACTTGGTTTTTGTATTTTTGACTCATTCCTAGAAGTTAATTCATGCAACTCAATCTTAATAAATTGGTCATCACATATTTAGAAAATATCTAGTTCTTTAGGAATTTAGTTGTGATTGAGTCATTAAAATCAAACTTGAGGAATCAAGTTGTACTAGGTTAAATTTGAAGATGTGAGTCATAACCGAGTCAAAAACTATAAGGACTGAAATAATATGTTACAGCCAATGGGTTGAGTCTGGCAAAATGGGCTAATTCCTCACAACGTGATAAATCAAGTTTCAAATTCCTATTGGAAGATATACCTATATCTAATACTCGATGGTACCTCAAACAAGATTGCTAATAAGAAATACTTGTACTTAAAAAAAATGTTACAAAAACAAAAAGGTTTGCGACGCAAGTAGAAAAGGGAAAAGAAGGCGGTGAATGTCAAAACGAACCGATTCAGTGCTAGTTGGGGTGGTAGATATGAAAATAAAAGCAGACTCTTCTGCATCAGTTGACTCTGCAGAATTCAGCGGTAGGGGATAGGCAAAAAGATGAGAAGCAGGACCAAAACATCAACATAATGAAGCATGTCTCTGGTCCCTTCAAGTTTATGGAACATATGCCTCAATTCAATCTCTATCTCTATCTCTGAAGCTTCTCGATCGCAAAAGGAATTGAACAAGACAAGGAATAATAATGGCCGATAAGAAGGTGGGTATAAATATGGGGGTAGGGTAACTGGGTGGTAGCATGGGAACTGGATTGACAAAGAGAGAGGGTTTTGTATGTAGATGAAGAGTCATATGTCTGGATAGTCAAGGATGGCTTGCCTTCTACATGATACAATCTCAATTTCTTTTAGGGTTTTGTCTCAGTCTTTAGACGAAGATGAAGCCACAGGGGATTGGATTTATCATATATGGGCAAGCTTCCTTGGCTATTTGACTGTCTCTTCTCTTACATGCTACACCCTTCTCTCTTAATTTACTTCATCATTATTCAAACAAATTAAACCTGCAGTCTAGCATGATCATGGACTGAACAAACTCTGCGAGTCTCCATGATGCCCATTCTTCATTATGGTATGTTTTTTCCTTTTTCACCAATAATTCTGCTGGCTTGTTTAATTTGTATATCTCACTAACACGCTTGATTTTGAAAACCAATTTATCTCTTCAAGCTTTTTCGCTTTTTCAGCAGATGACAAGATCGACCTTGTTAATCACTTGGATGAATTGGTAACTAAACAGCAGATTATTAGGAAAGAGTCCAAAATTCCCTAACCATGTTCTTATCCTGTTTGGTATCAATATAGAAATAGATTCTATTTTTCTTAAAAAACACAAATAGAATATGTGATATTCATGAGAGCATATATTGTCTTATATATCTGTACTCCCCCTTTTTAAACTAATTGCTTGTCGTTCGGACTTCTGGTTGGCTTTGTGTTTCCTTGGTAAAAGCTTTTTTAAAATATGCAGAAACCGTCCTTTCCTAGAAGAGATGATGAAGTGAAGAACGCGTAAAAGCGAGTTATTAATTCGAACGCAGTCATGAGAGAGTTTTTATTTTTCAAGTTTTGGAGGCGGTGATCTGATGATGATGAAAGTCAAGTCATCTCACAGAATTGTAAAAACTTTATATATAGTTAATCAGGTGACTGTGTTATAGAACCAATATGTGATGATCAAGAACAATTTGACAGGTTTGGCCGACAAAGAATGGATACTACTAGAGACCATAATATATATACATAGATCCCATCACACCCAAGACACAATGATTATACTGTATTACAGATATGAACACACTAATTATGGCAACCAACGATACACACATCGAGTTCTAATTGGAACCTGCAACAAACTTGAGTGCAAAGATGAGACAACAACTGGCTTCCAGATCATGCAGGAGCAAATAATCCTTAAAATATTTCAAATTAAAGGATAGTTATGCTAAATAATTAGCAGACTCCAAAAGAAGGAAACAACCAATATATGTCGTACAAATGGTTCGACTAAAATAGGAGAGGAAGTCTAATGCATGGGGGAAGAGGAAAATACAAGCCCTTATAGTTTCGGTTAATAAAACGTTTGGTTCCTATAGTTTGTTCTTATTTTGATTTTGAGCCTTACAGTTTCAAATCATAAATTTTGGTTTATCAATAATAGACAAAATAAACCAGGTTTTTATTGAAATATAGGGACTAATTAATGTTTTACATAGAAAAAAACTTGAGAGATCAAAATTAAATTGAGAGCAAATTATAAACACCAAACATTGTATTAGTCCTAGTATTTTCTAATGGAAGTGTCATGCATGGAAAAATTAGAAGAAAAAATGAATCATTAAAAAAGGTAACCTCATGTAAATGCAGGATGTAACTGTAAATATATCATTTAATATATATAGATGCATGGATTCTCAAATTAATGAAGGCATTTGATATTTTATTATATTGATTGACTCGGCCACTGATGGACATTCATATCAAGTGCCACGATTATATTGTCTGATATCATATAATATCAGGTATTCTGACTAAATTATGATATGATCTGATTTTTTCCTTGATTAATATACGAATTCAAATATTTAAAATTCCATAAAATATATCATGCATACCATCAACCCATCATTATGATAGATATATTCTTGACATCAAGGCATTGGAAAAACACAAATCGATGGAATTGAACCCACTAGGAATAGTGAGGAAAATGTAGGAAGTATTGGGATTTGATTTCCTTTATGAACTTATAAGAAGATTGAGGCATTATTTGAAAAAGTTTTATGGGTTAATGTATTACGATATACTCTTCCGATCCTTAATATAGGACCCAATTGTTGAGTTGGTTTTGGTCTTAAATATAAGACCCATTTCTCATATTTATCAATTTTCTCTAAATTACCTTTATGGATACTCCTTCAACCATAATCAAGTAGAAGGGAAAGATGGGGTATTAAAAATGATTATGGTATTTTAGGAAAAACATGTCACATTTCTTATAATTAACTAATTTACCTAACTTCCTTAATCTAATCAAATTAGTTAAATGGATTTTATATTAAGGACCGGAAGAGTACTATTTAGCAAGTTTTTCAAGGATGGTAATATATTTTGAATTTATTACTATTGAAATAATTTTCTTACAATACCAAAGCAAGTAGTTACTTTTTAATTATTTTTAAACAGAATTTTAAGTTTCAGAATATTTATTATTAATATCACGAATTGTAGATCATTAAATGTCATTTTTGGTATTTTTGATTCAAGTTAAAATATTAAAACATCTCATTTTTTAATTAAAATATATCAAATATATACTTTAATAAAAAAAAATGGCAACAGAGAGACTCAGTCTATTATTTTGGGCAATAGCAAAGTGAGAGAGTGAATCATTTTGAGGCATAGATGTGGGTGTGACAAGTTGCATTATACGCTTTAAATCATCTTTACAATTATAGTTGTGGAGAAAAGAAAGAGATTAGAGCAAGACATTGATTGAGAGTTTGAGAGCGCTTTTCTAAATCATTTTTACAATTATAGTTATGGAATAAAACTTTTGTCATAGATTTATTCAGTACAATACAAAATCACTTAAAATAAATCCATCCAAGCATACACTAATAAAGGAAGATCATTCATTCAAGTAATATAACCTGCGACCAGCACTTAGTCTACTTCAATTCTTCAAATACAAATTCATATCACCGCAAGAAGACCAAATTACAAATCCTAAACGGCCTCAACCTCAACCATCTCTGCCTATTCTTAAATACTCCTCTGGTCTTTAATATAAGACCCATTTAACTAATTTGGTTAGATTAAAGAAGTTAGGTAAATTAATTAATTATAAGAAATATGACACATTTTTCCTAAAACATCATAATCATCTTTCTTAATATCCCCTCTTCCTCTTCTACTTGATTATAGTTGAGGGAGTATCCATAAGGGTAATTTAGAGAAAATTGATAAATATGAGAAATGAGTCTTATATTTAGGACAAAAACCAACTCAACAATTGGGTCATATATTAAGGATCGGAGGAGTATTACTTAAGGCTATCATGCAACGGACTTATTATATAAACTTCTTATAGCTCAAGAGATTTAGGCCGATGCCAAGCATCATGGAAGAAATAACACTAATGGGAGTAAAGCTTGTGTAAATATAATCTTCTCCTGATGCACATATCTCATTTGAATTGTTTAAATTAAATTTAAACAGTCCATGTTTTATTATTTTTTATTATGCATAACCCGTAAAAAAAATTCCAAATAATCCGAATGTTCCACAAAAGTTCACCCTATGTATTCCAGTTATGGGAAAAAAAATGCGCAAAAGATCCAAATCCATACGAAACAATTGCCAAGTTCGAAGATAAATATACTTAACATACAAATAAAGTTTATAGAGAGTCTGTGTGATTCAATCACTTCAATCACAATCAGACTAAAACTGTAAATTGATAATTCCATAAATTTGGTAACTGTTTTGATTTTCAGAACATTGTCAAAAATGTTAATGATAAATAAGGGGTCAAACTTTGCATCCTCTAATACAATTATACACAAATTAAAAAAGTTCAAATAATTAAAACTCAAATTCCGCATTAAACATACCGCCAACTTTTCTCCTAGCACAAGTGTAATCACTCCATTGATCACCTGCTGTCCTTTAAGAAGTCTTGAACGAAATTAATAATGAGCAAACTAAAAAATTGGAGGCCTTGCCAGTAGGTGGAAGATGAGAAGCTTCACTATTTTTCAAGTGGATCGACATAAATTTTGGCAAAAGATGAATGAAACAGAAAATTTGTAAGGAAAACCAGTGGTTAGATGCTTCTAACTAGCACGAGTGAAACTAATCAAATTTCTTTACAGCCCACTCATTTGGGATAGTGCAAAGCAACCCATGTCCGGGACTATGCTCCAGAGGATACATTGTTGTGCCCTTCACATACTTCAGATGGTCGAGTGCAGCTTTTCTGAGCTTTGAAACTGCGCTTGGATTTCTTTTAACTTGCTTCTTAATAAGGGAACATGCACGCAGCGGATCTCCTGATCCTGCTCCAACTCTCCTGTGATCATGATAAATTCGAGAATGAACATGAATTTAAATTCCCTTTCTATTGAGGAGTTTAATCAATATTTGCTCCATCAAAAGTACAACGAAATAGTCCTTGTGGAGCACATGCGCGCCAGCAAGTGCAGCCTTGCATTAGAGTTAACTACCCACGTAAAATGCATTTTCCAAATTTGTAAGTAACGTGTCTCACTCTTACAGTTAGCCAGATTATTGAAGTTCTATACAATAGTAAACTAGCAGGACCAAATGACTTGTCAAATTCATGTTCTGGGAATGGCCAAAACTTACCGGGAACAAGCAAGAGACCTAAGTTATTATATTAATTGACCACAAAGAGCTGCTTCATTTATCACAATTTTAACCGTCTTAGCAGTTGTGAATATGGAGAAAAAGTCACAAGATAAAATTCTACTTACTATTGTATTCCCTCTGATTCAAAATATAAGCATCAAATCTTTGGAGGGGCTTTTTTTTTATAAGCTACAAGTTGGATTACTTTGATTATTTAATGCTTTTTTTTTCATCTTTAACCCTAATTAATTATATGTCTCTCTCATCTCTTTTTCCACTCATTTTCTCCCCCACTTAACCTCTCCATAAATGAGGGTATTTTGGGAAAATAAGCTGCATTTTTTTTTACATGTTTATCATCTATAACCAATTTTACCTAACTTTTTAAGTTGCGTGGTTTAATTCTTTAATACTTATATTTTGAACCGGAGGCGTAATTAACACTTCAAGCTCTCTGGCAACATCCCTTCAAAAACGAAAACAAATTAGATACAATATGGCCATAACGAAAACTAGCTGTTTACCCCAGGAATTTCTCTGATGCAAGCCTGGCTGCTCTAATAGTCTGATGATCTGGAACCCATTTTACAACACGATTTGGATCGGCACGCATGGGAGAATGAATTCTGATGAGCTTGACAATATAAACACAAATTATCAGATAATGCACCCAAAAAAGAGAGGCCAACAAGATTATACTCATACTACAAATTCAATGGAGAATAGACATCCTTTTTGCTTATGACTGATACAATCCGCATATGAAGCTCCAAAAATTAAGCTTGATTCTCATCATTTTTTTAATTCTTTTCTCGATCCATCATGATTCTCATCAATTAACAGGAGGAAAAATCCTGCTCATGTAATATATCGTGCATCTAAAATTAACAAAAGGGCAGTTGACTTACTCCTAAGCACTCCATCATCTGGTAATAAGCTCTCCCATGCAATGGGGTATGACCTTTACGAGATTCAGAGAAATATCTAGTCCTACCAGGAAAATTTCAGGTTTTTAGTCAGACAACCATACTCAAACCAATAGGCGGATTCACTAGAAGTCCTGAGTGCAAATAGAAAATTATATACCATTCTTTATATCCAGGATCTACAGTGAAGCCGTACATATCAACCGATTCACATATAGAGAGAGCAAATTCAAGAGCCTTAAGCCCTGTTCCTTTTGCTGCTGAACCAAAGGATGCACCTAGCATGAGATATACTGGATTTGTTATGGGCACTTCCTGCAGAAGACGGAAGCAAAAAAAAAAAAAAATCAGTTAGACAACTGATTCCAATGGCGTGAAATGTTTTTGTGTGCGCGCATATACACTAGTAAATTTATGGGCAATTATTTAACACAAATGTAACTGAGGAAACAAACCCGAATCATTTTGCTCATGATGTCATGAATTGTAGTTTTTACTATCAAAACCTCCTTCCTTTGATCTGCAAAACCAGCACTTCGATTAGAGTTCTAGTCAATCAGAAGGAACTATACCAAGGGGATTTCATATTCGTGACTTTACCATCTAACTCTGCAACTTTGTCAAGAGCTTTGGCAGACCCCCGGTTAAGAAGACGAAATGTGTTCTTTTTACCCACATATTCGGTATAGTTCTGCAGTTATACATGAATTTTAAGGGAACAGGTCAGAACTAGAAGAGAATGCAGAATACCAGCAACATCCTGTTGATCGAGTAACCTGTGTTGGAGCACCATTTTCTCTGATTACAGCATCATAGCCATCTATCTCCTTCCCAAATTTTGTCTTCAAGAGATCTCCTGAATTACCAATGACAGCACAGCGTCCAAACTGCCTTGGGAAATATGGTGGTGTCTCAGGGAGCACCAGTGAAAGTTTCTCCATGCATAAGGTCTTGTTCTCACAGCGGTTGCTGTAGCAAAGATAAGGCTAATCTTACTTTCTCTTAGAGCAAGATCCACCAAATCAACCACTATAGGAATATAGATAATTTTTAAATATGCAGTATAGAAAATAGCAGGTCAAATATCAGGGGTTCGCTTGGTTAGAAATGAGCAAGGAAGGTAAGTTACATTTTTTGAGAAGTGAATAAATTCCAGTTGCTTGTTCACTAGAAGGCTCAACTTCTTGCGAAGTTGGGCCTCCAACTTGCATCACAGCTAAGGCAGTAACTTACCGAATAGAATTTAAGTTCTACCGCCCTGATATCCCCAAACTTTCCCTTAAAATTATGAAATAAAATTTAATTAAAAGGTTTTTTCGTCTTTAACATTAAAAAACACTACATTTATTTTAAAATAATTTAGAGTTCCCAGGTATTTAAAAGAATGAAACAAATAATTAGCTAACGAGAATCTAACTTCCTGAGAAGTATACTTTCTGGAAAGGTAAATTTCCGCAAAATTTAGAAAAATTGAAACAAACAACCCCTATTTAATTTCGTTCAGTTGCCATCCTCATGGTTTAAAGTCAGACTTACAGAATTACTCCTTTGTTGATCCTCTGCCATGCATATTCCTTCCATCCATTTGGCAAAGAATCAATGAATTCCTTGGTGAGTATTGTAGTGCTATTCCTAACCTGAGAAATCAATCCATGATTTAAGGATACGCTATAACTAAATGCGAAGCAAATGCCACAAAATTACTCTATTATTCAACTAAAGGAATATTATGTTAATTAACGGAAAGAGGATAACAAGAATGAAAATAATTCCTAATGGTTTTGGACATATTGATGCATAAGCTCAGACTGTCATACTCCAAAAAATTCAACTAAATAAAATGATGTTAAACTATTTTGTTCACATAATTAGCTTACAAACAGAAAAAAAGGAGGGAAAGAGCCTTCATTATAACATCAAGATGGTGTTTCAACTACCTCACTATCTTCTTTTTGGTAGTAATCCTTTCACTGGGGGTCAGCCAAGTCAGGCACCAGCACGCATTTGGAAAGTGTTTTTTGGAGGGAAAAAAAAGAGGAAATAAATCTAAAACAGTCATACACACGTTGCTAGCATGCCATTTCAGTATTGACACACTTGTAAATAGGTTTGTCCTTGCTCTTTAGTCTTTAGGGTGCACCATAAAACCAAATCAGGAAATAAATTCATAAAACACCTCTTAACTTGCAGACCAATAGATGAAGGTAATCGAAATGATGAGACACAAAGATGAAGGTGCTCACCTGTTCCCACGTTGCCACAGCTTCACATAGATTGAAATCAAAGGACAAAGCTTCCAGTTCACCCGTTTTGGGATCTCTCTGTTTATACATAAATCTCCATGAGGCAACAAAGATACCAATGGACAAGCAATTGACAAAAAGGAACAACATACTGCATGACAGAGTTACAAATTCTAATCTATTTGTAAGCCATATGATATATAAAATACCACATTTCATTCCTCCGAAAGGGAGCAAAACATACTTCTTGAGTAGTAGGATGTCATAATTAACAATTTTGCACAACCATGTAGATAACTTGGATACAAGTTATTTTCATGAAAAATAATTTGGTGACTGAGTGATCTGGAAAATGTACCCATTTTGGGATGGTATCACTAGGGAAGTTTATTGTGGTTTGGCAATAATCTCTGCCCCGAACAGCTTTGAGCCCTAGACCATTTGCACTCTGCATCAAACACAAAAAAAACCACCAACCCAATGTGAAAAGATGATTGAGAATAATTCTCATGAAGTATTACGTCAGTAAGATTGATTTTCCACAATTAAAGATCATAAATTTAGCAAAACCTGAAAACAAAAGGTAATATATTTGTCCACGCAAAAATAACAATTCCATTTTTTACCAATCCTTGGCTACCCTGTTATATTGAATGTTCCTGGCATTCGCTAGGCAACTTAACAAAACGTAAACATTGTCCAAATTTTGTAAGGATTTAAACCCGTAGTGAACTCAATCGTAATCATATAAGCACAGCAGACGACCTAATTTCTTAAGGGTTGCATAACCTCAATCACAGCCCTATTACATTTGCAGCAGACAGCAATTCTCAAATGCTCAAACGAATCATCAAGAAAAAATGCACAAAAAACTAACCATATACAACTAACAAAGCAGCGCCTTTTAAATAAACGCCAGCACAAGTAGAGCAGTAAGTTAAAAAACGAAGAATTTATTTCAACGATAAGAACAGCAGAACTCACCACGCACTGCTGGAAACTGCTCTGCAAAGATAGCAACGCTTCTATCTCATTGTCTGTAAGCTGATAGCTCCCAACTGTCCATCATTATGCCGTAATTAGATCTCATGCAACTAAACCTGTTACTTCACGGTTCTTGCATTCATTTTCTCTCAAGAATAAAACTAAAACCTTATTTGATTTATACACATGAAGAAGCACCAAGTTACTCAAATAAGATACGGATGGTTGAGGGGCAAGGTAAATGCCAAGTGAGTCAAATAAGATATACATACATACAGAGGGATTAGAGACTCCAGTAATGTAAATGATAATGGCGGCAAATCCAGATGCCAAAGAAAGCAACAAGCCCAATTGCAGAAGCCTCATCGATTGTTAAATATCAGAATCGGAAACGACAAATAGAGCTGCCCAGCGAAGCTACTTTATATCTGTAAGGTAAGAGGGTTCCCAGAATTCTAGACTTTGAATCTGGGAAGAAAAGGCGATCGAGGGGATACCGGATAGGTGTATTGCTCCTCTCCTTGAAGTGAAATGCTTGGTTTCCTCTGCATAGAAGGGTTCAGAAAGCAGATCGAATGTTCATCGTTAATCAATTAATTAAACAGGAAACTTATTATTCAGGATTCGAGTCGAAGTGATTCGATTTACTTGAACAAGGGGTTAAAAGTTGAGGCAAGAGGATTCCCAGAATTCTAGACTCTGCCAGCTTTTATTTAATTTAATTTTTTACTAACATACGTACATATTATACTTAATTTTTTTCCCTTTTTTTTTCATTATAAAGGAAAATAACTAAAACTAAATTCCATCGGCCAAGTCCAGGCAAAAGAAAAAGGTCCTTGGCCCAAATCTGGCAAAGAAGTCCTCGTCTCAAAATAAGTATTCTGTCAAGCAGGCATCACTAGTCTCTTTCGTTTTAAACGTGGGCCTCGCAATCAAAAACCTTATGAACATTTTTGTTTGGGCCAATAACTTTAAGACCAAGATGAGTGACCTAAGTCCAATATTTTGATAGCCCAAGAAATGTGTCCGAAAATTCATAAATCATACAAATAAAGAGTAATGGAAAGAGTGACCATAAACTGAATTCAATTTGGAACTTCCCAGTCACTAAAGAGTAATTATCTAGTTTCAGCTATCACATCCCTCAAAGGATTATCAATAGGACCACCCCTTATCAAACAATTGAAAGCATCAATGGAGTCCGTGTAAATCAGCACTTTTTGAAAGCCCAAGTGTTTCCCAATGGCCATATCAGTGCATATGGCATTGATTTCTGCTTCCATTATTGAGCATAAACGAAGAGTTTGGTGGAATCCCATGACCTAGTCTCCATGAGTGTCTCGGATGACTCCTCCGCATGCTGCTTGGATGAAAGACCAGACCGACCTATGAACATCAATATGTACAGCATCCTGTGGCAGTGGTGTCCAGCAGCGTTCCTCAGCCTTTTTATGCTTGAAGATCTGATGTTTAAGGTTCTGGTTAACAATATACTCCACCAGGTTATGTAGACACCTCTGCAATATTTCTCTGGTACTTGTACTGCCTCCTTCAAAAAATGAATTTGCAATGAGTAGTCCATAGCAACCAATAGATTGAACTAAAGACTCGATTCCATGCAAATTGGTTGAAACGTCCACTACCTGGATGATGCTTTGTATTCCAGTTTAGCCATACTAGCAAATTTTTAGCAAAAAATCTACAAAAAGCGTTAGGTTTTAAAATTTTGTGCCATACTTCCCTAGCTCTCTCACAGTCTCCAAGAATATGAAGGACACTCTCCTCTCTTGCACACTGATATGGGCATTCGGATGTGTTTAAAATACCTTTTTTTGCTCTGAGTGAGTTTATAATCAGTCTCTTATGGACCACTTGCCACATTCAAAACTTGACCTTCTCTGGGAGTTGCCATTTCCATAGTTGAGTCCAAAGACCACTTTGTCTATTCCCCTCACAGTTTGTGAGGAACTTGTATGCCACTTTGACAGAGAAATTACCATCTTTTGCTGGTCGCCACGTAAATCTGTCAGGAGTGTTGTTTGATGGTGGGTTCTTCTTTATGAGTATTTTAGTTACCCAATGAGGGAGAATTCCTCTCCATCTACCAACATCCCACTGTCCTGTTGCTGAAACATGGCCACAAACTCTTCTATTGTGTTAATACTTGATATATTTGGGACAAAAGAGATTAGTGGTTTATTGATGGGTAGCCACATATCCTCCCCAAAACTTGTAGTCTCTCCATTATTTACTTTCTTTCCAATTCTGGCCAGAAAAATCTCTCAAACTTCAAAGATGGCCTTCCAAGTCAAGGAGGAGTTTTGTTTTTTCGTCACCACTAGACTACATCCAGGTCCACAATTATATTTGGCCCACAAGCATTTGATCCATAACGCTTCTTTCTTTGTAATCAATTCCCAACAAAGCTTTAAGATAAACGCTTTGTTGTGTTGGCACAAATTTTTTATTCTCAATCCTCCAAGTTCCTTCTGTAGAATAATCTTGTCCCAAGCAATAAGATTCATCTTTCTTGCTTCAATGTCTTGTGACCACATGAACCTCCTACTTAATTTCTCAATCTCCCTCAAAGTACCTAGTGGTAAGAGAGTAGACTGCATTTGGTAACCAGGCATAGCTGAAAGGACTTATTTAATTAGCACCGATCTACCCGCTATATTGAGGAATCTGCTCTTCCAAAGGGAGAGTTTTTCTCCTACAGGCTTTTAGAACTATGGGAAAGTAAGTATTTTTTGTAATTCTTGAGTGAAAGAGTGGCACACCCAAAGCCCAAGTCAGCCGTGAGGCCTATGTCGAGAGTATGACTAAGCTCTAAGGCTCTGTTGAAGTGAACATTTTGGACTTAGCTGGATTAATTCTGTGGCCCGAGATTGTACAGAAGTTCTGCATTACTGACTTAAGTTCTTCCACTTGCCCCATGGTTGCTTCAGAGAAGAGGATGAGATCATCCGCAAAGAAGAGATGAGAGATAGCTAGCCCATTAGGCTTAAATCTAAAAGGTTTCCATCTCTTCCTCTGGCATTCCTCTTTAATAAGCTAACCCAATCGTTTCATGCAAAGGACAAAAATATAAGGGCTGAGTGGCTCCCCTTGGTGGACACCTCTGGAAGGTGTGAACATGGGCCCTTCCTCACCATTTCATAACACAGACATAGAAGCTGTTGACATACACTTCATAATGAGATTGATTAGGCATGAATCCAATCGCAAGCATTGAAGAGTGTCTTGAATAAAATTTCAATCTAGTCTGTCATATGCTTTCTCCATGTCAACTTTAACTGTCATATAACCTTTTCTTTTGCCACTCATTCTCATAGAGTGGATAATTTCTTGAGCCACAATAATATTGTCACAGCTAGACCGGTTAGCTATGAAGCTTCATTGTTCGTGGCTAATTAGCTTATCCATCACCTCCCTTAATGTAGTAGCAGTCCATTCACAGTTTACACGTGAGAAAAGTTGAATAATAATTACTTCTTGTTATATTTATAATTTACAAATAGATAAAGAGGTTATCGAAGCATTTCAATTAGTTTTTAATTTTAAATAGGTAAAATGTAAAAAGTCTTGAACTGTAAGGAGCCAATAACATTTTCTATACTGTTTTTTTAATACAATTTCAACACGCATGCATATAAACATGTTAATGTCAAGCTCAAATACACAGGACTCACTTAAGTATAGCGAGTGGGCGGCACTGTCATTGGGGCTTGTAGTTGGCAACTCAATTACGGAGATAAAGCTTCCAGTAATTCAGTTGATAGCAATGATAATCACAAAATTGAGAAGGGAGTAAAAATATGATAGGTGGGAAATTTAAAACGTGAAAGTAGGTAGGTTTTGTCTCAAAGAAAAAACTAAAAAGGATGCGCGAGGGGTCAGCATGTTGCTCGTGGAGAGAAAAAGGGGCATTAATGGCAGATTCAATGCATGCCATGCGCGCATGACCTTCTCCACTGTCACTGGGACCGTCCTTCCCAACTACACGGTTCCTATGCAATTTTAATTTTAATACTCCTCCAATTCTAAATATAAAACACATTTAAAATGTGTTTTACATTTAAGATCAAATGAGTATTAAATATAATTAACCTACACACACATTATAATTTAAATTTGTAATTTTCTTGTATATATAATCCATATATATGTAATCTCATGTTCATATATTATCACACCTCGTCTCTAATACAAGAGTGAGTTGAGAGTTACAGCTAGTCCTTAATATATAAAATGGTAATTCACTTTATCTGTTTTATTTATCATTTTTTTTCATAACCTAATGTATTTAATTTATAATTGATATATTATTGGCAAGAAAAAACTTATAAACTGATATGCCTAATGTAGTTATATTATGCACAAGTATTTTAGTGAGATCATGTCACATTTATCATAATTAACTAATATATTTGTCTTTTTTTTTTAATTTATCATCTACGTATGGCCGTCTAACACTGCGTTAAGTCCCGTAAATTTGACATATCACACTACCATATATATCTTCAATCACCTCTCAATTGCATCAACGATAAGTAATTAAGCTTCAAGTTTTTTTTTTTAAGCAAATGAAGGTATCAAACGTTACGTACGCTTCATTACTCTTTGAAAATTATCACACATTAAATCCATCCAATGCTCAATCAGTTGTCATTATTTTATATGAAAAGGATAAGCTAGGTTGGATCTGACACATTATTATACTTTTGTTATACAGCAAATTAAGTGAAAATAAGCGATGACAATTATTTATCCCCATATATATATCTTCTTTAAAATCATTGTGATAACCACTTAGTCACAGTACGTAGCTGATTAGTCCGGTTTGTCCCTTTTCAATTTAAAGAAACTAGAAAGAGCCAGCTAGAAGTAGAAGTTACCAAACATAAACAAACAACGATGCCAGTGAGTTTCTTTAAATTAACGTCAGAAAGCTTGAATTTACATAAAGCAGTAGTCATGGGGATTCAAGATTTTGATGTGTCATACGTACCATTGTAAAAGGGAAGATGTCAAATTACAAGTTAATTATAAAAGCAGGGTTAGAGAAAGAAGAAATAAAAACGCAGGCCATGTCAAGAATACAAGCAAATCTCACAGTTAGGACTGTAATTTCTTGCTGGTGCCCTCCATAAAAGATTTATCTTATTTCAATTATACTGAGGGCATGCATCTTACTTTTCCTTTTGTTTGTTTTCCAACATAAGCTTGGCAAAAGTTATGACTTTTTATGTACTTCTCTTTTTCCAGAACACCATAGGAGGAAGGCTCTTTATTTGACTGGCGGTGCTAGTTCATGCATTTTGCTTTACGGTACTTATGTGTGCAATGTAGATCTGCACCAATAATTTACTAGTTTGAATGCTTGGGTGGGGAGATACTTCCAGCTTTTATTGGCCTCAAAATTGTACTTCTTTTTTGGCCAAAAGCCTCGAAATTGTACTAATTAATTGTTTCTCACATGCAGAAAGATCTATAATTAATGTAATTTGAAAGGGCTTGTGCAAGGGAGGATTGTTATGAGTCTCACATTAAGGAGCTTCATAAGTGTGGTATAATTTACAAGTTCAAAGAGCTCTTTTTCCTAATAAGCCAATCTG